AAGTTAGAGAGGCTGCCTAGAGGGAGTTATATCGATGTAGTATTATTCTCGACTAAAATGAAGTTTGCTATATTGAACTTCAGATAGGGTCGTGTCGAAGGGAAAGAGGTGTTGAGACCGTGTTGGCCTGTGTGTGATTGCAGGTCATCCTGATGAAGAAGACTCATTTATGAGTCTATACAAGACTACAAACATGCATTGAGACTGGATATAACAGCAGACTGGGTCAAATATAGAAATAAAACTACCTCTATAGACGATGTCAACTCCCTGTTTTCTAGGAAATGGTCTCCCCCTTTTCAATGGGCTTCACTATCAGAAACAGGCAACTTAGTCTACTCTGAGCTATTGTGGGATAGACGGTCACACCTAGTGTTCATTGCATTTCAGACAGCCTTTCAAGTGTTGAGAGGGGCTGAACCGGTCCTACCTTCTTACTGCTTAGATTTGGAGCATTGGTACCACTTTAGGAAAGCAAACTTGGAGTTGCTACTCTCAATGTTTTTCTTTCTGTTTCTTTTACTCCTCCGGGTAGACTGTTAGGATCCCGGCCTCAATTTTTTTGTATGAGTGGAAGAAATGCGGATGGATCCTCAGGGAAGAAAATGGAAGAGAAGTCCACAGTCAAGGGAGGCACCTACCCTGGCATATTATACGCCAAAATTCGGGGTTAGTCACATAAAAAGCCCGGTGGAAACAGAAAGCCGAACCTGGCAGAAGCTGAAGACCTCCTTCAACCTACCCGAGGCGGCTCAAACGAGCTACCTCAGGCAACTCTGGGATCAGCTGCAATTGCTACAGCGAGGAACCAGGCAGGTCTACTGTGGATGCTCTCACGAGGAATTGTCCCCACAACTAACTGGCTGTAGGAACGAGGAATGGAGGTGGAGACTATATGCCAACAATGTGGAGGAGAGGTGGAAACGGCTCGACACATCTTTGTGGAGTGCCCAGAAGCACAGCAGCTCTGGAACTGGTGGAAGACTCAATGGCAGAAATGGACAAACGACGTACTACTTTGAGATGAGACATGAATCCTGACAGGCAGGCTTCCAGCTTCTCTCACCAGTTCGAAGGGATGGGGCTACATAGCCCAGGTAGCAAGAGCGGTCCTCTTCTGGTTTTTGTGGCAGGGCCGCAATGCCTGAGTCTTCTGAGATGAAGAGATACTTCTACAGCACCGCCAATTCCAAGGACGTTCTCAACTATGCATAGTAGTTATGGTAGACTGGGCCCGCAAGGTGAGGAGGAAGAAACAGGGCAGAGGTAGATACAGATGGTTCGGGCGAACATGGGCACAGAAGGGTATTCTGGTGCAGATGAAACCACAGGGAAAAATGACCCTGGCACCCTGGTTCCTGCAGGGAGATCCAACCTGAAACACTCGGTTGCTCTAAGTCCGCAGTAGGACGATAGAAAAGGGGTCCTTGGACAGAGGAGGGAGTGTTGCCCTTTGGTGGGAGGGCTAACTGAGGCAGTTATATGCCTCGGATGCCCCGGGAGTAACCAGTATAGGAGTGTTTTTAAACTCCGGAACTAGGTATCTGAATCTCATTGTCTTTCCCCTTTTCCTCTTGCTTATGTAGGGCATTTGCTTTTTTTTCTCTAGAGTCGGTAGAAAGTAGGAGTGGGTGGATAGAATTATAGGTAAGGGTTTTTTATCCCCCCTCTCTCTGGGAGGAGGGGGACATCATTATTTTGGTGTGATCAGGGGGCTCCTTGAATGTTCGGCTAGCCTGGTTAACAGAGAATAGACTAGACTAGCCCTGACAGGGAGGGGGTTCTTTTATGTTTGGGGGTTGTTCTTTTTTTGTCTTTTCCTTTGTTTGTTTTTGGTTACTTTTCCGGGATATTGGGCCTCGCTACATTACTTTTTTTTTTTTTCCCCTTTTTTTTGAACTTGTATTTCAAAGTGACAATAGAACGAGGTTGGGGACCTCACAATTCAACCCGGAGTTATCCTGGCAGCCTCAGCCAGTTTCGCTTATGAGCCCAGCTCGGCTATTAAGAACGACTACTCAGAATAACTCGCTCAACCAGAAAACTAAAACCTTGCTGGAAACCGGGTCCAGCGTTCCCTCCTACTTTACTTTCTAAAAAAAAAAAAAAACTTTGACGTACAAAGTAAAAAAAGGTGAGCTAACAGATACAGACTAGATATGTCATGTGTGCTGAAGTACTCCAACGTGACCTGTGACTGAGGCAGGGTGGGGAAGGAGAACCTCTGTTCAAGGTGGGGTACTAATGCGTTTCCCATGACCAATCGTGGCCAACAGCCAAGGACAGAAGGAAACCTTACCCCTATCATCTATTCTAGACAGTCCTGAGTCTCTTCCCCAAGTGTCTCAAAACCACTTCCGTTGATTCGGACTCATTCCATTTGTCGTTTGCCTTCGCCTTTGCCAGTCACACAGTATCGTCCTTCTGAATTATGAAGTAATTCGCTTCTTAACTTGAATGTCCGACATGAACTGGCGGCGGAACAATTGACTGTTCCTATCGTCCCAGATCACCTTCATTATGATAGCTCTGATCACCAGTGCCACGTACTTCCATTCGCACTTGCCAGTCGCACAACCTGTCAGGATCCACTCATTATCCATTTGAACTTATGTTTTGTAAACTTATCCCAATGTTGAATCCACCAATCCCAGATTCGCCGAGAGGCAGGATAGGTGAGCCATGGGTGTCTTGTAGTTTCCCATCCCCATTGGCATCTAATACAGGCCGTAGGAATTTTCATACCTTTTGCCACCAACCAAACAGCTGAAGCTGTAGCCAGAATAGCTTGTAACCAAAGTATACTAGCCAACTTTTGAGAGGGTATACCTTTCATATCAACCCATAAGGACTACATCGATTCAAGAGAGATACCCGATATATCTTGTTCAGACCGTTTCTTCAATACTGTGGTGTACGGTTGCTTTTTAACTTTCGTCCTCAAAATTCTGACAGCTACTTTAGGTTTGTACTCATCTAAACAAATCAATTTGCCCTTCTGGGTACTACATCAACCTACTGCAGATAAGTGGGTACCTAGTGAGATCACTAGTCCACCTTCCGCAGCTAACAGAGTCTTTATCTGAGTAGGCTGTTTACCCTTATGGCACCTTACTGACCGGACTACAATTTCTTCGATTCCTCTCATTGAGTCCAACTTACCTGGTGCGCCAGGATAAATTTCCTTAGTGAAAGTTAAGTCTTCCGTCCTATAGCATTCAATTGCTTCCAATCCTCCATCCAGAGTCGGGCCTTTGATCTGCCAGACGTCATAACCTCCATTTTGAACATTGAGTTTCCTTCCCCATAGTCCATCCACGGGTATGGAATTCGTCCGCATGATTCTCACCCAGCCTTCAGGTATAGACTGAATTAGTTTCTGCAGCTTCAATTGCACGTCTTTGATTTTTTTTTTTTTTCCTTTTTTTTTTCTTTTTTTTTGCTGGGAACCAGGCCCATCGTCCCGTTAATACATCATTTCATAACAGTACAGTCTTGAGGGTGACGCCATTTGGCCGGAAACCGGGTCCAGCGTCCCATATCTGGCCTTTTCCTTCCTACTTAGCCTGCAGCATCGTTGGGTACTGGCGGGAGGCCCACCGGGGGGCACCGGTGGGGCCTCCCTCCCTCCCCAAACTCCTGCTCCCCTCCTACTATCCTCATGGCGTCCAGCGTCCCATCTACAAAATTATACAGAAATTTTACAGAATTTTACAAAAAAAATTCTGAAATTTTACTGAACAATCTCATGTCGAAAAAACAGACACCCCAGTGCTGGAAACCGGGTCCAGTGTCCCTTGTCCCGAGAATAACATCCCTGCCTACCCTGGGCTGCGTCCCATGCCCCGAGTCTAACGTCCCTGCCCACCCTGGGATGCATGGCTGAGAAAACGGATCGCCTTCCAGCGCCTCTTTTGTATTGGACACTCAGGCTGAGACGGACCGTACAAATCTGTTTATCCCACCTACCCTGCCGTGTTTCCATCTGCCGCCGTGTCTCATCTGTTCGTTAACTAAGCTTAGATTGTAGGGGACAACCACCTGCTATCCTTCTGGTGCTCTATATGTTGAGACCTCCGAAGGAGACTGAGCCAGACAATACATTACCCATGCTGGAAACCGGGTCCAGCGTCCCATATCAGCGCTGTTCATCTAATCCGACCTGCTGTGTATCCATCTGCTGCTGTCGTTCTGCAGACCATAGGGCCGCCGACCGTCGACACTGCCTTTTCCCTGGTCGCCATTTCCCTGGTTTCGACGCATGCTTCGAAGGTCCTTGTATCATCCAATTTCTTCTTCGCCCTCATGACGCTTTCGTCATGCCCCTGCTTGCTCGTTTGCTGCTACCGCAGTTTCCACTCCTGCAGTTTCCACTCCTGCAGTTTCCACTGCTCCAGTTTCCATTAATGCAGTTTCCACTCCTACAGTTTCCACTGGTGCAATTTCTACTRCTCCAGTTTCGACTGCTCCAGTTTCTGCTGCTGCAGTTTCTACTACTGAGTGTCCACTGTTGCGGTGTCTACTGCTGCAGTGTCCATTGCTCCAGTTTCCACTGCTGCAGTTTCTACTGCTGCGGTTTCCATGCTTGCAGTTTTCAATACGTCTGTTTCCATAACTGTAATTCCCCGTAGTGCAGGGTTGCACATGCCGACCGTCGGTGGGCCTCGGTCGGTCGGCCGCCTACCTGCCGACCGTTTTGGCCGTCGGCGCCGACCGATCGGCGGTGTAGGCCTCGTGCATTTTTGTGCGGCGGCCACCCCCACCCCAAAGGCCCATTTTTTGTGTTTTGGGCCGGTACTGGGGGGGTCGGCCGATCTGGGCACGGCCTGGGAGGCCGCCGACCGTCGACACTGCCTTTTCCCTGGTCGGCGGCAGTACAAAGAGTGTGCTTGCCCACACTTTTTTTTTTGTTTTTGTTTTTTTTGGTTGGAAAACGACTTCACAATTCGGCCCCAGTGGCGCCCTATTTTGTGCAGTTAGTGTGCGACAGAATTGGAGAGGGTAGGAGGGTGTGATCGTAAGAGACAGCATTGGCCCTGGGCGGCGACGGACAGAGGGTACACCGAGCAAGAAGGAGGTGCGAGAGGGAGCGATGGCGATGGCGATGGCAGATAACGGGCGGGGATGGGAGGAGAGGAAGGTCTTGTCAGCTGAGGCAGAGATCGAGGGAGTACGTGCCACGGCGTCCATGAGTGGCGATGGCATGATCAGGTGGACCTTGACAGGAGGAGGAGGAGGAGGAGGAGGAGAAGGAGGAGGAGAGAAAGGAGGGAAGAAGAAGAGTATAATGGGAGGCAGGTCTTCGTTGAATGCCCGCGAAGATTGCTTGGGGTTCTCCATAGGATCGTCCACCATCTTGCTGCACTCCTTTCTGCTTGAGGATGGCGGGTGTTTCGGAGGCGGGCTGAAGAGGAGAAGAAAGGACATAAAGATGGACTTCGATAGCATCGACTCTCACTCCCAGTGGGTCAATGCCCTCACCGACATTGTCCGCAAGGGTAAGTCACATCTCCTTTTCACATTTAGCTCGATCCCAGCTAAGTAAGTGGGCGTTTACTTCTGTATAAGAGCGACAGAGACACCGGGTGTGCCTTTTCGGCCGGAGAGAGAGAGAGAGAGAGAGAGAGAGAGAGAGAGAGAGAGAGAGAGAGAGAGAGAGAGAGAGAGAGAGAGAGAGATCACCGACACGTGCGTATGCAAAGCTAGCAAGTGAGAGATCTATTGAATGTATAAGAGATCGAGACGCCGTGTGTGTGTGTGCGCACACACACAGACACACACACACACACACACACACACACACACACACACACACACACACAAACACAAACACACAGAGAGAGAGAGAGAGAGAGAGAGAGAGAGAGAGAGAG